TTCTTAAAACTCAGGTTCTCAGAAAGTCTACATAGAAACTTTCTATTATTTCCCACGGAAATATTTCCTGGACTTTGCTTCAATTCAATTCTTGTCACTAGGTCTTTTAATAATCCTGAAAGAGCTCCAACCCTGAAATAACTGTAATTATTACAGACACGATATATTCAAATTTTTTTCAGTGTTTCCAATCTACATTCATATGAAACTGTAATGAGATTTTATAAATGTCTGTAGCAAACCCACAGTTCTGCTGCCTGAAAATGATTTTTATAATAAGCAAGTGTCCAAAAGAGTTGAAAGTCTCAAGGAGAAGCTGTGTGTGGCAGTAATTTGTTAATGAAGCCCCAATGATAGACATTATTCACTTAAAAAACCCAATTTTGTTATTGTCACTTTCTGTTGGGGTTGGAAGTTAAGGTATTACTACATTCTTTCATTTTTCTCCTTTATCCAAATTCTGTTGCCTTAACTTCTCATTCAAATAAAAATTTGAAACTGGAAAAGAAACCTTTCATCAATGACAGAGTTTAAGTGACATAAGAAACACTCAAACAACAATAACAAAAACCCACTGTCATCAAAGCTGTTTAAACTCATGGTGACCTTACGAGTTACAGAGTAGAACCATTTCATAGAGTTTTCTTGGGTTTAATCTGTATAAAGGCAGATTACCAGGCCTCCTGAGGCACCACTGGGATGGTTGGAAACAGCCAATCTGCAGGTGCAAACCATTTGTGCAATCATATTTTTGTAGTTCAAGTAATAATCCTCAAAAGAAAGAAAGAAAGCCTCTTTGCCAGCAGCCCTCTTTTTTATAGAAAAGTTTGTCAAATTTCATCAGAATCTGTCACATCTCTTTCTTAGCGCTCAACCAGAGAAAGGACATACAGAGAGAAATGAGCCATAGAGAATGTCTGGGTTATTTTTGAGTTATGTCTTCTGAAATATCTGAAAGTACAGCTAAAGTGAACAATTATATGGGACAGTGGTTCTCACACTTTAAAATGTAGCAGAGCCATCTGGAAGACTTCTGAAAACAGATCGCCAGGTGTCATCTCTAGCGTTTCCGAGTCAGTTATGCCAGAGTGGGAGCCAATGCCTTTCTCATGGTTTCTCAGGTGACCTTGATGCTACTGGTCCAGGAACAAATCTTTGAGAACCCCGATACAGCAGATCCCTAATTTGTACTGCAGTGCAGCTCAATGCTCTTGGCTGAGTATCTAACCCTGTATTCTAGACTAAAGACTAAAATGGCAGATGGTTTTCGTGGCTTCAGAACCCACGTAAGACACATCCTTCTATAATTATCCTGAGGAAAATATTAGGAAAGATTACAACTTTCTTCTGGAAGATGAAATCAAGTTGTTTTTTGATTCCCTTACTCCCTTTCTCTTGTTTTTTTGACATTGAGATGCAATGCATACCAAAGGCT